TGAGCATCCAGGGTTGGAATGGCCCAAGGGCATCCTGGAAGCAGTCTGCTGTGAATACTGAGACAAACTGAAGTTTTGGGGAGTCAAAAGTTATACATCAGTTTTTTGACTGTGTGTGGGGGACGACAGGACCCCTAACCCCCACCGTGTGTTATTCAAGGGTCAACTGTACTCAACTTGGCAGCACCTCACAGGGACTATTTTGACTGTAAGGAGCCAGAAACAGCATGTACTGTGTAGTTCTATTTACATGAAGGCCAAGGCCTGGCAAAACCGCTCTATGGAGAGATCAGAGCGCTGGGTAGCCTGCCAGGGCGCAAGGGAAGCTTCTGTGACACAGCCGATGTTCTGTGTCTTGATACGGGTGGTGCTCCCACGGATGCAAACATTTGGAAACATTCGTTAGCCTGTGCACTTAAGCTGAGTGCACTTTACTCTCCGTCTATTCTCTTCCAGTTAAAAATGCTGTACCACTCATGGGAAGAAATTCCACTGTAACCACCTGCGTAAGAATGCAGGTACCCCCGGTATCGGAACTCTCACCGTAAATAGTTCCAGTTCCCATAATGACTTGCTCCCCCGCCTTCTAACCCAAAATTTGCTATTTGAATCAAAAGCCTGCCTTGCAACTATTTTTCAGTGCTGTGCGAGTCCAGGCTGGGATAACACCAGTTGCAGCTTGCAGGTTCTAACATGATCCTGTCTTGTGTTACCGGAGCGTGTCGCACGCTGCTGATGGTATCTCCCCAGGACCCTGTGTAGACTTCTTCCGGGTGCCTGGGGGCGCCTCCAGTCCGGGTGCAGTGGGTATTATTTTGATTACCTTTAGCATCGTTTTTTCCAGCTTTGTTGCCCACAAGACTGTTGCAGTGCGGAAATACAACTCTTATCTGATATTGTGTGAACTTGAGCACTGTGTACAACTAATGAGTTCATTAAGTGTCGAATGGTTAAGTAATTGTCCCCTCCCACCAATGCTTTCTATTATGCCAAAATCCTTGGTGGGTTGTTACAGAAGTTTTTAGGGGGTTTTAATAATATTTGGGGAAATCAGTGGGGTTTTAGAGGGAGCTGGGAGTGAATGCATTACTATCTTCATTTAAAATACTTTTTCATCCCCAAATTACCTAAGTAATGCTTTTTTCCATATACGGGCTTCAAATACATTATGTGTACATATAAAGAATATGTAACTGGGCCAAGTTCCACCACACAGTCTTTAGCCACTTTTTTATGTTCCTTTTTTTTTTCTTGCTGAGCACATGCCACTAATTTGCCTAAAACGCTGGCTCTATCTGGGCTGCAGAGAAAGACCGGGACCGCCTCAAGCCTACTCTGTGTGGACAGGGGCTTAAGCGACTCCCAGACCTGGTCACCGCCAGGATGGGTGCTGCAAGAGGGAGCAGCCTTAGTCCCCTCCCTTCACTGCCGTAGGCAGAGGGCACAGCACGGGACCTGGCGCACGGTACGTACTCTGCGAACTGGGCACCAGCGCTGCCCCGCTGGAACAGGCCGGTTCAGATCCCTCTCTGCTGCCTGACAACTATGGGACCCTGGGCAAGCGCCGCTGAGTCTCGCCCTCTGGGGATGATGATGTTAACGCCTCACCCGAAGGTGCAGGTTACATAAGAGAAGAAAAAGCACCTGGACGGCCCCTCCCCAGGCCTGGCTCCCGTCTCCCTCCCCTTTTCTCCATTGCCCCACCCTCTGGTTATTAGGACAGACCTCCTGCTCCTTCCTTGGAGCCTGGCTCTGGAGGGAGGGCTCAGGGTGGCCCTGGATTGAGCTGGGGCCTGGGTTCTAGGCTCCGAGTGGCAGTTTGGGGGCAACCTGGCACAGGGGAATGACTCAGGCTCGTCTTTCCTGGTGACAGCGTTTCCAGGTCTGTTGCACTCTCCCCACACCTGCTTTTTGCAGGTCAATCTTATGAGGTAAAGACCACACACAATAAACCGCATCCATTAAAGCAGGCGTTTGGATGGGCTCAGACAGATGCATGCATTCGAGAACATCCACCACCACCAAGATGCGCACTATCCCCACCACCCCATGTTTCCGCTGGCTCCTTTGCCACCTTGCCTCCCTCCACCCCCAGGCCCAGGCCCCCACCACCACTCTGCTCCGGGCCACTGAGGGTTAGGATTTCACATCAGGGGAGTCACAGTGTGTAGCTTTTTGCATCTGTCTTCTCTTAGCATGCTGCTCTTGGGTGTTGTTTTTGCACAGGGTCAGCCGTTCACTCCTCGTTTCCCTTTATTTTCATTGCTGAGGTTTATTCCATGGTCTGGATATACCCACCGTTAATGGTGGTTTCCATTTTGGGGCGACTGGGCATGAAGGTGCATTTGAACACAGGTGTTAGGATGCCACCCATTTTCCACGGCACATGGTTTGTACGGGGCAACACGCAACCTGTTTACAGCATGATGCATGCGTAGTCCCATCCAGCAGCATCTGGGACACGGGCCGGCTCTGCTCCCACTGTGTCCAGTGTTAGTCCTGTGGCTGCCGGGTCACGGGGAGCTCCAGGGGGCTCCAGAAAGAGCCAGGTGGTGGTGACCATTTGCCAATAGATTAATAGTAGCTTAAAGTTTTCATGTTTAAACCACCTGCATGGCCACACCAGTGCATGTGCTGGCTTGAATGGCAGCTCTGGGACAGTCCTCTTGGTTCTCCTGAAATAAACTTCACAGATAATATAACCCAACTGCATGTGATGTTAAAAACAATCGCTAGCCCTGGCTGGCATGACTCAGTGGATTGAGCGCCAGCCTATGAACCAAAGGGTCGCCAGTTCGATTCCCAGTCGGGGCACAGGCCTGGGTTGCCGGCCAGGTCCCCCACTGGGGGTGTGCCAGAGGCAACCTTCTCTGGCAGATCAATGTTTCTCTCTCTCTCTCTTTCTCCCTCCCTTTCCCTCTCTCTAAAACATAAATAAATGAAATCTGAAAAAGAAAACAATTGCTGTTGTTTGAACTGCAATAAAAAGGAGAAGAGGACAGTAGTTTATAACATGCATTTCTGTGTGGGGACATGTGGAACCGCCCCCAGAAACAGAGGAGGCAGCTCATGTTTATGCCTAAAATGTAAGCAGCTCCCAACCCGGCTGGACGCACGCGGTACTGATGTCTAACTAGCAAGAGCCATGTGGAACATGATTTTCTGAACTTGTTGACAAACTTTGGCCACATTTTGAGCAAAACACGATACAGGCTTCCCTGATGCTATGTGGAAGTTGCACGTCCTGGAAAATTCAGAACCTATTACAACTTTACAAAAAGGACTCTGTGTTTGCATGAAAAGAGAGTTAGGTTCTGGGCTTGGATAATTCTTAACCAGGTTTTTCCAAGTAAGGCTAGAGTTTGCTTAGTATAAGCTAGGATGGCTGTGCCATTTAAAACACTGAAATACTTCTGTTCTGGCTGATTAAGAGTATGAGAACAAGTGAGAAAGCAGTGACATTTAATAATACAAATTGTAATATAAATTCATTAGTTCAAGTCAATTGTGATTGGTTCTCTATCACATCATTACTTAGTTGATAATAAAGATATTGACTATAAAAAACTATCAGATGGTATAAGAGAAAAGTTTGTTTTTGGTTTTTAAATTTTTTAAAGATTTTATTGATTTATCTTTAGTGAAGGGGAAGAGAGGGAGAGAAACGTCAATGTGAGAGAGATACATGGATCTGTAGCCTCTGGCACAACCCCAACTAGGCCCACAACCCAGGCATGTGCTCTGACTGGGAATCGAACCAGCAACCTCTCAGTTTGCTCAACCCACTGAGCCACACCAGCCAGAGCTTGGCTTTTTTTAGTTTTTTATTCTCAGGGTTAGAAAAGTTTTTAATGTAACTGCTGTTACTTCAGAAACAGTGATGAGAGGAGAAAACCCCAAAACATTATGGTTGATACTAAGAAATTCTTTATCTATTGAAACCTTAACTCACCAAATGATTTGCAATTTAACAGGAAGTTGCTAGAAGCATTTGATATGGTTCCCTTATCAAATTACAGCTAAGGCAAGATACATATATATATGAAATGTTATTTCATGCATATACATATACATAGCTGTGTCAATTAAGAAGTCATACCAATTTCTAAATGAAATAAACTCATTAAATAATTTAAGAATGAGTTGAGCTTCAACTTATATTCTTGGTAAACAACTTAAAGAAATATGAATCTACAGATAGACCATTTTCATTATTCTTAGAATTAAAAAGAAACATTTAAAACGTCTGATGCATATGCTGATTTATATATTACCCTATATTACCATACCAGTTGCAAAATAGTTCAAGCATCACCTGCACTTCATGAATGTCCCAGGGGAAGTTTGAAAATGGTGTGGGACAAGAGACACTATTGTGTGTGATGCCCTGTATGTGTTACAAGACACCCACCATCCATGGGCCATGCCTGCCAAGAGCCAAGAGCCACAAGTGATGGGTGGCCCAGATCATCACCGTGTTCCCAGAATGCTCCTCAAGTGGGAGCCCCACAGTCTCTTTGGGAGCTTTTTGTGCGTTAAGATCCAAGGCTGTGTTATAAGAAGTCAGGCTTTGGACATCTGAGGCTCAGGAGATTGGGCCAAACTTGTATTTGTCTTTTCTTGCTGGCCTTTCTGTAGGGGCTCCACATTTCCATCCCCCCACCTACTTGACAGGGTCGAGGGGCTGTGACTTGCCTAAGGTCAGGAAGTAGGTGGCCAAGCCAGAATCCAAACACAGCCCTGATTCCCCACCCTTTACTGCTGTGGTGCCTCACAGCACCCCGGTGGGGTGAGTGCGCTCGTTACCCCGTTTCCCAGGTGCAACGCAGAGGTGCAGAGAGGCAGAGTTGCCTCAGCCTGGTTCACGGTGAAAGGAAGCCACGGCGCTGGGATGGGAACCCAGGTCTCCCATTGCAGAGCCTGTGGTTTCAACAACCAGGTGTGTACAACCCAGAGGGTGTATGTGACAAGCCGTTGGGATGAGACAAGTACACAAAAACTTTTATATTGATTTTAATTTAAAAATGAAATAATTTAAGCCTTATTACTAACATATAGAATGCTAGTAGTACCTGTATATCATTGATAAATACACATATTGGGGTAATGCCCAAACAGTACTTATTCTTAGGTGCATTATCACCAAAAAAAAAAAAAAAAAAAGAAAAGGAAAAAAAGGCAGCCATTGCTTTCCCTGCTCAGTGACAGGAGGCCCTCTGGGTACCAGTACTGGAGAGGGGCACCCAGGGCCTCGTCATTGTGGGCTCCAGACTGACAGCCTGCATTGAAGTTCCCACTCTGCCACTTCCTCCGCCCTCTGGCCTTGGGCAGAGGACTTGACCATCCTGGCCTCATTTTCCTCATCTGTTAAATGGAAATAATAGCAGCTCTCACTTGGGAGGGATGAGGACAGGAATGAATCAGTTCATCTGTGTGAACACTGGGAGCAGTGCCTGGCATACAGTAAGTGCTCAGTAAATGTCAGCAGTGATTATTGTTGACCCCACCATCCAAGCAGGGAAACAGGCGCAGAGAGAGAAAATAACGAGGTAACAGTTCGAAAGGGGCGGGGCCTGGATCCAGACCCTCACTCCCAACCACAGATGTGCCTCAGACCTCTGAGCCTGTTTCCTCCTCTTTGAGATGGGGTTAAGAGCAGCATGCACCGCACCAGGCTCTCCCAGGAGGGAAGGGAGTCGCGTTCTGGAAAAAAAGGGAGCTAGTTATCCTGTCCAGCCAGGCGCAGGGGCTTAGAGAGAAGACCAAAGGTTCAAGAGACAAAAAAAGCTGTGGAACAGTAGTCTGTGCTTAAGGTCTCCTTGGCCCCACAGTAGGGCAAGGACGCCCTCTAGTGGTAGAAGCAACCCGAGCAGCCAAGTATCCTGGGGCTTCTATATGCGCCTTATAGGGAGGGCACTCACTGAACCCTGGTGCGGATGAGGCAACGAGGAACGGAGAAACCAGGAGGCTCGCCCAGGGCCACTTAACGAGTTAAGTGGAAGAGCCAGGGTTAGAATCGCAGCAGTTTGGCCTTAGAACCTACACTCTTTCTCCCTCTTTCCAAAACTCTGTCACAGCCCTGGAGCCCAGGGTTCCTGGAAATCTTAGACGTCATGACATGGATGTCCTGGACTGTGCTGGGCCCTGTGGAGCCGCTTGGCATCCCCGGCCCATTTACCAATGCCAGTGACACCAGAAACAAAGGACAGTTTCCCATGTCGGCAGGCGTGTGAGTCAAAGCTTCAGCCACTTCCTGCCAAACTCAGGAGGGCCGGGTTGGGGTACTCGGGGTTCTCGATGACTCCGGGGCCGAATTTGAGCTCCAGAAAGCGGCGGTAGTTGTTAGGCGCCTGCGCCATGAAGCCGGCAAAGGGCAGGGGCACAAGAGGCTGCAGGAAGTGTTCGGGGAACTCAACATCCTGTCGGTGGTCCAGCCACGTGTCCTTGGTCATGACTCCATTGCGGGGGTAAAAGGGCCACAGGTCCACGTGCAGGTGGTTGCTCTCACTGTACTGCACGCGGAAGAAGTCACCCTCTATGGCCTTCTCCCACACAAAGCCGCGCTCGTCCACCACTGAGCCGGCCTCGGCCCCCCGTAACTGCTCGCAGTTGCCCACGTCCTCCAGGTAGATGCCCAGGTCCACGTCGTAGTCCCATGGGATGATATCCCCGTGGCGGGCAGCCCCCAGCAGGGAGCCGCCTTCCAGCCAGTAGCGCACTCCGGCCGCTTCCAGCACGCCCACCACATAGCGGGCTGTCTCACGCAGTGCGCGCAGGCAGCATGGGGGTGTCCAGCGCCCCTCGTACAGGTAGGCAGGTGTGTCACCCACCACGGTCCCAAAGCAACGAGGTGTCTCTTTACTGCAACCGAACCACTCAAGGCGCCCGCCGTCTTTGCTCACCAGGCGGATGCCCAGCGCCCGCAGCAGCGCAGACTGCCGCGCGCGCCCCTCGCGCTCCGCCTTCCAGCGCGCATGGGCTGTGGTCAGGGGGGGCTGGTGGGCTATGGGGAAGGTCAAGTCCAGCAGTTGCACCCCCCAGCCACGTAGGGCTGTCTGCAGGAAGAGGCTGGTGCCTACTGGCCTGGCCAGGGGCACCGAGAGGTTGAAGAGGTCTCTTGAGCGCAGGAGAACCACAGCGTCCCCTTCCAAAGCGTCGCAGCGCTGTGCAGAAGGGGCCGGGCCATAGTGCGCTGTCCACTCCCTCAGGCTGACGTTCAGGGCCAGGCACCGGACAGGGTTGGCTGAGGCAACAGGGGCAGCCACCAAGCGGGTGCTTCCCCGGCGGAGCGCTTCCACCATGCGCTCCAGCTGGCCTGGTGTCTCAGCCCTCGCCCCATCAGGCACCAGGGCCACGTACTCCGTGGTCACATAGGTCTCTGGGCGCGAGGCCGCGGCAGGCTGGTCCAGGGCGGGCTGGAGCAGTGCCAGGCGAACATTGGGGACACGGGGCAGGGCCAAGGGCGGGTAGGGGAGTATGTCTGCTGCCACCACCACCGGCTGGGCTGGGTCCTGCTGCAGGAAGGAGTCCACCAGCTCGGGCACCGCATTGTCAAAGGCCTCGAACTCCCGCACCAGGATGGTAACATGGGGGCCGGCAGCAGACCCGTGGCGGGGGCCCCGTGGCCGGGAGTTCCTGGGCCGTTGCTGCAGCCACGAAACATAGAAGAGGACCAGGAGGTTGACAATAATGGCGACTGCCAGGGCAGCCTGGCAGCGGGTGAGCCTCATGGGGCCGAGCTCAGGCCCTAGCTGGGCCTCCAGGACATCCTGGGGAGGTGAGAACAAAAGGGGAGGGAGGCTGGAGCTGGCTATCAGCAGCCCCTCCTACCCAACCTCAGCCTTACCCTTCTCTCCCAGCCTGTTCCCTATTTGGTTTCAGCTCTCACTTTCCCTCCTCCAGGAAGTTCTCCCTGACCTCCCAGGCGGGGTCATGCACCCCATTCTGGACTCCTTCAGTGCCCCATCCTCCCACCCCCATTTCCACACCCGAACCCCACCATTCTAAGCTATCACTGTGCAGGGACCCATCTTGTCCTCCCATTTGTGAGACCCACGAGGAGCCTATCTTGGTCACTGCTGGGTCCCCAATGTCGCTCAGCACAGTCAGGCACACGTTACATACTAGTGAGTTTTTATCAAACAAGTCACCTTCCCTTCTTTGTTCAGTCCTGTCCTTCCAGTCATTGTCACCTTCTCATTCACTTATGAACACTCAGGCCCCCATTCCGAGCCCAGCTTGCGCCTTCTGCTCTCCATTCCTTCCTCTGGGAAGCCACCCCAGATCTCTCTCCCCTGTCCCTTCCACCCCCCACCGCTCACCTGGCCCCCAAACCCCGCCCCTGTTGCTCCCTGCTCACTTCCTCAAATCCTGAGCCATCGGGTCCTCTAGCTCCCCATGGCCAGCCAGATTGCTTTGGTTTTACAAGAAAAGTTAGAAATGCTTTCTTTAAATCAGAATTATCCAATTTTTTATGTTGGCCACTAGTTTTTTGTTTTGTTTTGTAAATAGAAACAGAAAGTAGACCGGTGGCTGCCCGGGGCTAAGGTCGGGGTGGGGGTGGGGGGAATGGGGAGTTGCAGTTTTGCAAAATGAAAAAGTTCTGGAGATTGTTTCCATAAAATGTGAATAATTCTTAATACTGCTAAACTATACACATAAACTTGTTAAGGTGATACATTTTGTTATGTGTATTTTATCACAATAAAAATTTTGTTGTTTTAAGTTGAAAGGCTGCATTGAAAGAGGCTGCCAGTCTTAGGACTCCTCCCCGCAGCCACTGGCCACACTCCTAAGCAACCCCCAGGTGGCGCTGTCTCCCTGCCCCCAGTACAGCCTGAAGATTTGGCTGGTTTCCAGCCCAGGAGGTGTAACTAACGTTCTGGGTTCTCAGCAGAAATGCAAAAAAAAGTTCCCCATGGATTTTCAGGTGTCTGCTCCTTCCAGGGAGGAAGACATCAGAGACCCAGCTAATCTTCCTAGCGCCTCCCCATTCCTACAGCTTCCCCTCCCCCTGGGCCCACCCAGATCTCCACCCAGCAGCCCCTAGTCTCCTAACCAAGTCCCCTCCTGGTGGCAGCCAGAGGGGTCTTCATAAAGCACAAATATGACCTCTCCCTCCCTGACCAGAGGCTCCTCAGTGCCCTGGGGGGAAAATTTAAGTTTCTTACAACATTCCACAAGGCTTTGTGTGAACCCCCCATTCCAGCCCCATCTCTGGCCACGCCTCCTCAAACCCTGTCTATGCCTAGGCCACCTTGGGCTTTTCCTCAAATAGATCTTCTTCCTAATCCTTTTCATATCCTGTTCCTTCTGCCTAAAGAGTCTCCTTTCAAACAGGCCCCTTTTCCCATGCCTGTCTTCTGCTGGAAAGCTCCTACTTGTGCTTCAGGGCACAGCTCAGATGGCCCCCTCCTCCAGGAAGGCCTCCTTGAACCCTGGGCTGGGTCAGAGGTCCCCTCTGGGGTCCCCCATCTCAGCCCTGCCCACTCTGGTTCGTCACTGTCTAGGTATGGGTCTGCCTGCCCCACTAGACCCAGGAGGGTAGAGCCAGTGCCGTCTCCATTACCACTATGCTCCTAGCACACAGGTGGCACTAAAAATGCACTTGGTGAAAAAGTGATGGCCAGGTTCAGGGTTTCTGCATGTCTGTAAAGCCCACTCAGGTCCCAGGAGCCAAACTCCGCACTGTGGCCCCATGCCTGGGGCCCTGTGCTGGTCTTCCTGTCCCCCCACCCCTCCCCGGTCCCCAACCAGGAACCCCTTCCTCCCTTCTCCAACTGTCCCAGTCCAGCCTGCCCTTCTCTGACCCAACTTGGATGTCACTTAAGAATCTGAGTTGCACTTTAAGAATTTCTTAATCTTTAGAACTCTGGAATTGTCCTTCGTTCAGTCCTCCAGCACCCACCTGCTGAACTCCTGCAACGTGCCAGGCACTGTTTCAAGTGCTGGGGACCCAGCAGTGGACACATGACACGGAGACGCACAACACCCATGACCTCACGGAATTCATCATATTGTGGGCAGAAGAAACCTATGGAATCACAGAATCTTCATTTTTAAACAGCTTAGAATCTTAGATCTTAGGTACACAGAAGCATGGGAGATGTTTCTAGAATCTTCTAAAGAGGTCATCCTCACTCCACCCTTGTCCCTTACCAGCTGTTCCCCACTCAGAGCCCAGAGGGATCTGGTTAGAATTTGAAGTAGATCCCATCCTGCGTCTGCTCAAACCCTTCTGTGGCCAGAAATCACTCACAGGAAAAGCCTTCACTGTGGCCCACGAGGCCCCATGCCATCTCCTGCCCTCTCCCACTCGCGCACTCAGTTCCAGCCACACTGGCCACCACAAGCCAGTCCTCAGATGAACCCAGGCCACTCCTGCCCCAGCACTGGCTGTTGCCCCTGCCGGGATGCTCACTCCTCACAGGTATCCACCCGGCTCCTCCTCACGGCCTTCAGGTCTTTGCTCAGAGGTCACCTGTCCAGTGAGCCCTTCCTGCGGCCACCCTATGTGAAAATGCATCTCCCTGTCACCCACATTCTTCCTCTGCCCCAGCCCTGAGTTATTTTCCTCCCCTGGTAGTTATCACACTGATGTTGCTTATCTTGTTTATTGTCTGGTCTGTTTCCTGGCACATAGCCAGTGCTGCACAAATGTGTGTGAATGAATGAGCTGCTCCAACCGTCCAGATAAGGGATGCCGGCTTAGAGACTGCGAGGGTGTGGGCACCGGAACCTTGGCTTCTGCCATGCTCCGTCTGGCTGCTTGTGGGCCAGGAGGTCCCCAGCAGGACAGGGGACAGAAACTGGGTCCTCAGAGACCAGAGGGTATGGCAGCTCCATGGGGAGGTGCCACCTACTGAGTGAGGGGACCAAAGAGGTCGAAGGAAGGAATCATTTAGAACCCTGACAATGTTTAGCCGTGGCTTCCTTAACTGTGAGGGTGCAAAACCCCTGCAGGGAGCCCAGGCGGATGAAATGATGATGTTTGAAGGTCCGGCGGTTCTAGTGGCTCACGAGGCGCCTGACCCTGTTCTGAGTACTTTATATATATTCACTTGTTTGATCGCTTGGGTACAACCGCACTGAAAGATGAAGAAACTGAGGCACAGAGAGGTGGAGTCAGTCACTCGATGTCACACAGTTGGGAAGTGACGGACCCGGGATTGGACCCGAGAAGCCATCTCCAGAGTCTCGCTCTAATCCAATCAATCAGTTCTGCTGCCTCCCTCCGGCCTACCTTCCACGAGCCTTCATGGGCTCTGACCTGACCAGTGCTGTCAAAGCTGGATACAGCACATTAATGAATTCAACTAACTCAACAGGGCTATTTATTGAGTGTCCTCTGTGCTATTTATTCAGTGACCTTGTATTCCAGGGACAGGGGATGACCCAGGCAGTCCCCGAGCGGGACCTCCAGAGGCAGGAAAACAATGTACAGATGGGAAGAGAAACCAGCAGGGGCGCGGCAGACAAAACCAGGGGCTTGCTTTAAGGAAAGGCGCTCAAGGGAAGGAGAAGACAAGGTGAGACTTTGTCTCTCCATTCCCCACAAAGCAATGTGAGTGGATCCAGGCTCACTTTAGGCCCGGCTCGCCTGGTCTGAGCCGTGATCTAGCCTGAGACTCAGTTGCTGTACCTATAGAATGAGAATGTGATGGGCAGGGAAGAGGAGGTATGTAGGAAAACCTTTGGGGACAAGGAAAGGCCAGTGTCCACACAAAGGCTGGTGACACTGAGGGACTTCTTACCTCCTACGTTGCAGGCTGGGGGAGCACCAGGGGGACAGTTTCAGTCCAGCTCAGCTGCACTGCTGAGGAAAGAGAACCAGAAAACCCCAAATCAGCCAACTTTGCATAGTAGAACACAATTTCATCTTACCTACAAAAGTGGTAATGGGGCCAGGGAATCACTTCTCTTCAAGTCCCATTAATTCAGACACTACCTGGAGCATCTTGAGAATGGGCGGGAAGGATGTCAGTTATCATAGCAACCTATAACCATCTCTCTCTCATGACTGTGTCCAGAAAGGTAGGGCTAGAAGTGACAGAAGCTATTACCATGACAACCACTTCCCTAGACACACTCCATCCTGAGAGACAATCTGAAACCATTCCCTACCTTTGTGGGTCTGGTTCTTAGGGGCACTGGAGGGGGGACTGCCACAGTTACCATAGTAACCAGGGCTTGGCCTTGCCTGTGTCTCACCTTCCTGGGGATGGTCAGGCCCTGTAACCATAGCAACCACTCCTCAGCAGAGCATCTTCTCCTCTAAATAAAAATACCTGGTTGGTTTGGTCCATGGACCTCCCACCATTGGAAAGGAGGGGAGATGGTTACCATGGTAATGCCAACTGGGTGGCTGGGGGAATGGATTGGGGAAGAGGTGTTTCCTTCAATAATTAGTGTCCTTGGGGCTGGAGTTCTTTCTACCTGAGTGCTAGGTGGGGTTGCCATAGTAACTAATGAGGGTAGGGGCAGAAGGACCACCAGGGACCTAGGTTGCCTTAGTAACCTCCTCCTGGTGCAGGGACAGGAGAGGTTTGGGACTCCATAGACACAAAAGTGTAGGGGAAAGGAGCCTGGGGGTGTTCTAGGCTGGGGAGGGGTTACCATGACAACCGACCTGGGCCAGGAATCAGTGAGGATGGGGCCAAGCCTGAAACCAACCCCGGTGGTCGCCCTTTATCTCAGAGTGACACTGATGGCTGAGGAAAGTGGTATTGGGTCTGGAGAGGGTTAGAGTCTGTCTTTTGGGGGCAAAGTGGGAGGAGGGTAGAAAGCGGCCCCTCCCCAACGTCTGGCTCTTCCTCTTCGGGGCGCGCGCCCCTTTCCTACCCATTCCCACATACCCGCGCGCGCGCGCCTTCGGGGTCAACCCGGGTGGGCGAAGCGCGCGCCCGGCCACGTTCCCGTCACCGCCCCCCCAACCCGGCCCCCGCCGAGGGCGCGCTCGGGGGGGGGGTTGGCGCGGCCGCGCAGGCGCGCGAGGCACAGCGGGCGCGCGGGCCGGCCCGGGGCCTCCATGATGGAGGAGCGAGCGGCCACCGCCGTCGCCGCCGCTGCCTCCTCCTGCCGTCCGCTCGGCTCGGGCGCGGGCCCGGGCCCGACGGGGGCGGTCCCGGCCTCTGCCCCCGCCCCCGGGCCCGGTCCGGCTGCTAAGGGAGGCGGCGGCGGGGGTAGCCCCGGGCCCACGGCGGGACCGGAGCCCCTGAGCCTGCCCGGCATCCTCCACTTTATACAGCACGAGTGGGCGCGCTTCGAGGCGGAGAAGGCCCGCTGGGAGGCCGAGCGCGCCGAGTTGCAGGTGAGCGCCGCCTCGGACCCCCGACCCCCCACCCGGCCCGACCCGGCCTCACCCGCCGCCGCCGCCGTCGCCATCTTGGAGCAATGGCCGCCGGGACGGCCGGGGGGGCGGGAGGGGGCCCCGACCGGCTCGGAACTGAAGTGAGGGGCCGTCGGAGGAGGGTCCTGGGGGCTCTGGGGCGCCTCGAGGCGGGCGGGGGGCCCAGGGGCGGGAGCGCCGGACCGCGGCCGGCGGAGAGAAGGGACTCAGGGCACCAGAACCCGCTGGAAGTGGCAAGAGTGAGCCGACTGGACGGCGGGTTCTCGAGAGTGGCCTCGGGGTCCGGAGGGGGCCCAGGAGAACTCAGCCAAAGGTGCTGAGAGAAGTTGTTGGAGGGGCTTGTGTGGGACTGAGCAAAATCTCGGCGGGTGTCGAGTGACGCCCACCCCCTGTCCGACCAGGCGCGGGCGTGAGGTGGAGGCTGATGGGCTGTGATGGTGGTGGTGGGGCAGATGCGGCATCGGGGCTGGTCGAGCGCGGGGGGCGGGGAGTTGGGACCCTCTAGGGCGAGAGCGTTCCAGCCGGGACCAGGCCTAAGTACGGAGAGGAAGTCACGGAGCCTGGGACACGGGGTGCGTTTCGGAGTATGTGGACGGAGGGAACTGAAAGATGGCTGTGCGCGAACTCCGGGGATAACAGGAGGCTCTTGAGGGTTCCAGGATGATGGTGTGTGCTCTCTCCGCTCAGGAGGAAACTTTGGGGAGCCCTGGCATGTGCGGCTACCGAATTGCAGGAAAGGGGTCCCGAGGACGAGCCCTTGGAGCATGTGTGGAAGGGCTTGAGAGCAGAAACTCCAGTTTGGGGGTGTGGAGAAGAGAGGGGGATGGCCTTTAGGTCGGAGGTGTGTGTAGGGCGGCAGGTGGAGAACCCTGAACTGGAGTGGGCGGGGCGTCAGGCGTGTCCAACGAGGAGACCAGGGGTCTTGGGATGGGGACAGTGAGGAGGAATCCAGGGGCGCCTGGGGGGTGACAGGGAGAGCATTTTGTAGAGCAGGAAGGCATTGGGAAGAAGCATCTAGAAGCGTCTTGAGGGGGGCGTGTTTGTGAGAGTTTCTGGGGAGAAAGGGTCCCGTGGTTTGTGGGTAGCTTGGAGGCGGGATGTGCGCACAGGTGATGTTGGGAAGAGTCTGAGGAGCTGGGCTGGGTTTTGTGACCTTGAGAAGTGCAGTCCCTTCGCAGTGTCCCCACGAGCCAGGACATCAGAATTGTGAGGGTTTGAGGGGCCCAGTGACAGGCTGAGAGGAGTCTGGAGGTTCCCTGGTTGGGTGTTATTAGCAGAAGTCAGTGTCTGCTTCTGCGGGCCTGTCTTTCTCCTTCTGATTGGCTGTTTCCTCCCTAGCTGAGGTGGGGACCCGAAGCAGTAACTGATTAGAAATTTGTCCACAGGATGAATGAGGACAGCATCCCGCAATTCTTCCACCCTACTGGGGATCTCAGCTGTTGGGTAGCTGAGGCTTGGGGTTGGGTGGGAGGGAATCCTTATGTAAGTGCCCCTCGCTTCCATGTCCCACTCTCTGCTTCTGAGCTCCTCCCTGGCATACAGCCCATTGGATTTTCTCAGTGCCCCCGTTATGTGGGCAGAGCCAGAGTTACTGCCCTCACTCAGCAACGGTACGGCAGCTGTTGTTCAATCAGCACGTGTTATGTGCCAGGCACTTCATTTATTTTTTTTAAGATTTTATTTATTCATTTTTAGACAGAGGGGAAGGGAAGGAGAAAGAGAGGGAGAGAAACATCAATGTGTGGTTGCCTCTCACATGCCTCCAACTGCAGACCTGGCCTGCAACCCAGGCATGGGCCCTGGCTGGGAACCGAAGTGGTGACCCTTTGCTTCCCAGGCCGGTGCCCAATCCACTGAGTCACCAGCCAGCAGGGCATATCCAGCATTTTAGCTACAGGGTATCATTTAATCCCTGTCACAGTGTAGGAGAGTAACTGATATTATTCCCTCTGCTCCTTTAAAAAAATAATAATAATAAGAGGAAAGGGGGGCTTTGAGAGGGTGGGTGATTTATCTGGGATCACAGCCCATGGGCAGCAGGCCTGGTCTGGTCTGTGGCCTTTCAGGCCCATGTTCTGTCCCTCTCTGGCATCCAGCATGGATGGGAAGCCGCTTTGGGGAAGCTCAGTGGCCTCCCGGGGTCGCCCACGCAAGCATAGCGGAGCTGGGGTCAAGCCTTGGCCTCTGGAGCTCCATGCCAGGGCACCTACAGCACCTTCTATGCCACCTGTCATCTTGGAGACTAGAGAGAAAAAGATGTGTGTTTATTCCCCCACTTAGTGGGCTTCTTGGAGTTTGGGAAGAACTCATGGGTGGACCCAGTCGGTTGTTCTTGTCTCGGCTCCTGCACCACTGACTGTGTGTTTTTGCCCTGTTGCATTAGCACAGATTCATAGGTCTTAGACATGTGTGTACAGACGGTATACATGAAAGGGGGAGTCCCCCTGGTCCCTGTCCCACTCTCCTCCCTCCCAACTGTCACTGCTGTAAAAGGAGTTGGCTCTATGTGTGCAAGGCATGAGGTCATACTAATGGATCGTTTCGTGACCTTTTTCATATACTCGCATGTCTTGGCGTCCCTTTCGTATCAGCACAGAGAGCCCTTTATTATTTGTGATAGCTACTGGGTGTCTGCATCGTGACGCATTCAGTTTGACCACTGTTGGCGGCCGCTGGCTTGTTCCCAACTGCTCTCATCTGAAAGGGCTGTGGTGACTGTCCGAGTGGTCTGTGTGATGCCAAGCAGAGTGGACCGGCGGAGTGGCTGAGCAGGTGGGTGTATAAGTGGGGTTGGTTTTGACAAGTTGCCCATGTTCCCACTCCCTCCACAGTACCTGTCTCTACATGCCTTTGACCGAGGCGCTTCCAGAGGAGCAACTCCTGTGAGGTTCTTCAAGGCCCAGGCCGAGTCCGACTTTCTGGTGCGCTCCGAGTGCCTTTTCTCCGAGTAACGACACAGCTGCTCTCAGCACAGGGCCCACTGTGCAGTCAGGGCTCCGTTAGGGTGTGTGGGAAGGCAGAAGAGGCAGCCCGTTGTGGGGTCCCCCCAGGGGGCACCCACAGATTGGAGCAGGGTGGTGGTGTAGACTCGGTCTGATGTTGAGCAGGACTTTGCCAGGTGGGGGGATTTCAAGAAATAGGTGGTGTTGCTTCTGCTCTTTGGATACTTCCAGGCTAACAGAGGAGGCTGTTTGCAGAGGAGGCCACAGAGAACCCCATGATATGGCTCTGCCCAAGGTCTGTGGCACTTCTGGGAGGGGAGCTCCTTGAGGACAGGGCCACCCTCCTGGGGGAGTCTGAATTGGACATTAACGTAGGAGCGGTGACACAGAGGTGCGGTGAGAGGGGTGGCAGCGGAGGAGGTGTGGAGCTGACCCCTCCCCACTTCCAGCCTCACCAGGGGCTGTGAAGGCCCCTGGGGACTCATCCCAGAGCCTGGGGAGGAGGAGTGTGGGAGATGCAGGGCCGAAGAGACCATCCGGGGAACCCCTGCCATGGCTGGAGCTGAAAGGTTGGCAGAGGGATGGAGAGGCGTTAGGTCCCGGGAGGACTGGTGTGCTCCTCAGGGATCCTGGTTCGTGGGTACTTGAGTGGGAACAGCTGGAGGGGAGGCGGCAGCCGCATCTTGGAGTGGTTCTGGGCTCCTTGTGTTCTCACAGCCTGGCCGGGGGAGTGGCAGTGGGTGGGCCTGGCGAGCAGAGAACTTCCAGGTTCCCCACTTACCTGCCAGCCGCCACGGCACTGGTGGCTGCTGGCATGTGCTGGGTAGGAGGGACTGGCCACCAGCACTTCCCTTTTCCAGGGATTCCACTGCCTTGGGACCCTTCAACCACGTGTCCTGGTTCCCCTTTCTCCCTTCTGTGCCAGAAGAGCTGGAAGGGGACCACAGAGCTGAGTGGGCCGACCGAGATTCTCCACTTTCTTCCCCCACAGACCAAAGTCATGGGGTGTTACCAGCCCCTCCTCATTACCTCAGATCCCCTCACCCCTCCCTGCCCTGCCTCCTACGATGGGCCTCTCGGCCTTCAGCTTTGCTCCCCCTCCCCACCTGCCCCTCCCCAGCCATCAGGTCTCCACAATGTAGCTGAAATGACCTTTGTAATGTTCTGATGTGGCCAGAGTGGCCTTTTCATTTTTTAGTTTTCTTTATGATTTCTTCTATATGTTCTTCTAAAAAATTTGCATTGAATTTATTGGGGTGACATTGGTTAATAAAATTATTTAGGTTTCAGGTGTACAGTTCCATGCTACATTATCTTTATGTTGTATTATGTGTTCCCCACCCCAAGTCAAGTCTCCTCCCACCCCTGCCTGGGCCCTCCTCTGCCTCCCCCACCCCCTTTCCCTCTGGTGATCATCACACTGATGTCTGCGACTGGGCGGGTTTTACCTTTGCTTAATCCCTTCACCATTGTCACCCCCCTCCGCCCCCCCAGCCAATGTTGGCCCATTCTCTGTCTGTCTGAGTCTGTGTCTATTTTGTTGGTTAGTTAGTTTTGTTCAATGGATTCCACATGAGTGAAACCATATGGTACTTGTCTTTCTCTGACTGGCTTATTTCACTCAGCATAATGCTCTCCGGGTCCATCCATCTTGTCACAAAGGGTAAGATTGCCTTCTTTATTATGGCTGAGTAGTATTCCATTATGTGAGCGTACCAGAGTTGTTTAATCTACTCATCTACTGATGGGCACTTAGGCTGCTTCCACATCTTGGTGATTGTCAATAATGCTGCAGTGAACATAGGGGGGGCACACATTGGCTTTTTGGGGTTTCTGGAGTCTGCCATGCAACTTTCATCTCTGCCCTCTGCCAGCAGTACACACCGCGGCCCTGGCCAGCTTCTGACCGGCCCTCCAGTCATAGCCGGGTGTCACTTCTTAGTCCAGAAGTGGGCTAGGCATCCCTCTTCCCAGAACCCCTCTGCTGCCCTGTGGTGGCCCTAGTCACTCGCTGTGGTGGCTGTTGGCACGTGTCCCTGTCTCCTGTGCTGGATGGAGAGCTCTGTGGGGACGGGAACCCCTTGCCTTCTCCGTCACCCCTTCCGTGCCTCGAG